AACACGCGATTTTTTCACTCAAGCTTTAATACCTGTAGGCGCGTTTATACGGACTTAAGTAAATAGCAGTAGTTAATGCTTCTTATAAATAGTCGTATATCGTATTAACTAGTAGTTAGTGCTGTTAGTTCTTCTGCTGTGTTAGATTTTATTTATAAACTCAATTGTTTATTATTTTCGATATTTTGTGTCCTGTATTATTAACAGCAATCAAAACTTAACGAGCCCTATAGCTGATGTAATGACTTCTTAGTTGGCTGTATAGGTGGCAACAAGCCATTGTTCTATCTCTATTTTATGAATTTATTGTTAAAAATATACTAATATATACTGATGACTTTCCATTCGATACAACAATGCCGAGGAAGGAGCTGTTTTCACTTGAAATTATATTGCTCTCTAGGTTTTCAAGTGTAGCTGTAGACTATAATCTGCCCGAGGTAAAACTTCTGAATGAAAGTTCATAGCTCCAACCACGGGAAAACTCTTCAATCAAACTAATCATGAAATTCAAGACACAGCCAATAAAATAGCACCAAAAACTTATTTTATTTAAAATAGAATATACACTGGATAATAGTATCTTATATTTCCAAGATCATATAAAGCAAAAAAAGATTCACAAAATCTCATTAAATAAAACGTTTCATTTGCCTATATATCCCTCAACAGTTTATTTTAAATTATTCAATTAGTTGTAATGTGAGATAATTCATCCTTTTTAAAATCGCCTAATAATTGTCTGTTTACGATAAAAGTGTTTAGAAATACAGTAAAACCCCTCTTAACACTGCTGTTTCGGTTTTGGGCTCTAATTTTGCCCAAATTCTCCAAAACATGGATAAAATGGCGAAAAAAACGGTGGAATAGCAAAACAAGAGTTTTGGATGAGGCAAATGCAGAAAAAATAGTTTAAAAATCAGCAGTTAGTCTTTCCAATAACCGAACAAGATAAACAAAAATATTTTTAGTAGTTAGGACAAACTAGGATTTGAATTATGCACCAAATTGTTGGAAAAGAACAAAATTTTGATAGGAATTCAAAAGCAAGATGAGGTATTATAGATGATCTATCCATTTAAGGGGCGCCCATTAATCACATGAGCGAGTTTTTAAGGATTTTTGGAGCCTTCTCCTCCTTGGTGATACGTGGTAATATTCAAAATTATCCCCCCTCCCCCACCAAACATTACGTGTATTTTTAGTTGCATGAAAAAATTGTTAAATTATTGATTTTTTTCAAATGTTTGGATTTTATAAAAAAATTCAAGTAAAAAATAAATACACGTGATATCTTACTATACCCCTCCCTCCCCCACGTAATATTTTGTAATTTTTTGTCAAACCCCCCCTCCCCCTAACGTGATTAATGGACGCCCCCTTAAAAATTCTTAAAGAAGACAGAAGAAAAACGCGAACTATATTAGATACCTTTTTTATCTACATAGATTATGATTATTGTTATTTTTGAAAAAAATGTTTATTTTTATTTACATTAAAAATAGATACAGCTATTAAAGTTGAAATATTGTCGATTTTTCCCTAAACGTATTATCAACAAAATAAAGCCTCGTTTAGTGTCATTTATATGTAAAATTACTTAGTTTTTTCAAGACATCATAACGCCAACTAAGTAAGATAAAATGAAAAACACATTTTATCCACATTTTAGGAAATTTCGAAATATTTGATTATAATGGTACTTGATAAGTAATTATTGTCTAATGCGCGTCAAAATAAATTTAGTACGCATAATCTAATAAATGTTCATTCGACAAAAGTTCGAAATAAATCAGTACCGCCATATACTTTAATCCAATATTGATTAGCATTATGTCCTCATCGTTCGAAATAAAAATTTATATAAGATTCCGAACACGTGTCTATCATATAAAATCATGCGGGTAAAACAATTACATTTGATAGCGGCTCCAGGATGGACATATTCCTGTGTCAGTATTGTTTGTTATTCATTTTGTATAGACACTTATTTGAAAATATATAAGCAGAATTATCGAAAAATGATTTTACTTGAAAAGAAAATCACTTTCTCATTTTGAAATAAATATTAGAATAATATTGTATAGTTTTTTTATTTATTTATTTATTTATTAATAGCAATCAAGATACAATTTAATCTTATAAACTATTGTGACACAAAGAAGAGGAATCGAAAGAAAAAAAAATATTATTATTATTATAATAATAAGAATAATAATAATAAAAGAAAAAGAAAAAAAATAAAATAAAAAGGAATAATTATCTAGAATTCACTCCAATGAGTGAAGCTTAGTGTTTTATTCAATATTGTATTGGTGTATCAATATAATATTTAAGTACAATATATTTTTGATAGATTTTGATAGAATGGAAAATATGGATGTGCATTCGTATACTTCAGTACAATTTAAATTTCTATGAAATGAACATAAACATAGAATGACTCTTTGTTATATCATTTCCAAAATTGCCATTAAACATTCTAGGAAACTCCATTCAACATACATGTACATATACATTCAATATTCATGTACATGTACAAGGAAAAAAACTCAATGGGGGTCAAGCGATTCCACTTTGTAGTTTGTACCCAACTCCAAGGGACTTATATTGAGTTTCTTATATTGAGAATTGTAGTCGTTTAATAATTTTCAACTAATATTTACTTATTCCAATAAAACACAACTGAATCAAATAAGGTTATAATTTAACTCTTTCGACTCGGATGTCGACGCTCCGGCGGCAAAATTCTTACAGGTTTCGGAATACGCGAGGAGAAAGGGTTAAAATACATACACACATTAATAATTCTCATGAGCCCACTGTATAACTTACATTTTGAAGGTTTTTAAAACCATAAAACCAGGCAAAAATTTCATTTAAAATTGAATCAAATAAAAAAAGTATAATAAACTTATTCAAATAAAATTAAAATAAACTCTTTCGCTGCAAGAGTGTTTTGTACGGCCCAGCACAACAACCCATTTTAAGATTTTTCAATAATTATCAATAAAAATGTATTGGAAAATTAAAAATCACGCTTCTTGTGAACTAAATATTAGAACAAAATACTAGAGTCTAATATATTCTTTTATTATTTCAATATTTGATGAATTTTTATAATTAAACCACTTCTCGTAGAACTATAATATTTTAGGGTGCTCGTTGAGACCATGGACTATATTACCATATAAAGTTTAATTAAAATCGTCAACAAACATTTTAGCAATTCTTTGTTAAAATGGGCCCGTTGATCTATACGAAAAACAAATCAGCACGGTTCTCAACTGACAATCTTTGGAATGGTGTTTTTAATTTTTCAAAACTGGAGAGAAGATTTTTGGAGAAAACGTAAAATGATGCACCTTTTCTTTCATCGAATGAATGGTTTAAATGTTTGAAATCGGTGCAGCCGTTTTTGAGAAAACGTCGACAAAATGTCAAATTTTGGCTCACATATTTTTTTCAATTTTGATATGAAACAATCTAGAAATCAAATTAGAAAGTCGAGAAAACACAAAAATATCTGGTTTTTCTAGCGAAAACAAGCTTCTCCATAGGGAATTAATGAACTACCAAAGTATGCATTTAGAATCCTATAAAATTTTGAATAATGGAGCGTCGATTAATCACGTGATCGTTTTTAGACATTTTTTAAGTATTAAGATTCAATTTTCAATAATTAGGGTTAACAACATTAACAATTATTGATAAATAATAGGGGGAGGCGTGTGATACAAAAAATCACAAAATATCACGTGAGAGGAAGGGGGCGGGTCAAGTATAAGATATCACGTGTATTTGTTTTTTATCTGAATTTAAACAAAATTTCAAAATTAAGGTGGTGAAAAAAATAGTGTTTAATACCACCGCGTATAATAAAGGAGAGGGACGTGTGTAAAAATACTTCAAAATAGATCACATGATTAATGGACGCCCCCTTTCTTGAGTAAAATAAAAGAAGTCTTATAAGATAAATGAGGAAAAACTAGTCCAAATTAGACTGTTCAATAATTTGTAATCGTTAATTTGTTTCAGCTAATAACAAATGTTAGCAAATGCATCATACGAGCGACCCGACATACGAGTAATTCGAGATATGAACTGCCAAAGAAGCGGCTTGTTTGCTTCGACATACGAACAAAATTCGAAATACAAGATTTGAGCGGGAAAAGTGTTACTGAATAAATGAAAATATGATAAATTTTGTCAGATGTTACAATGAATTTTCTACTATAGAAATAGTTTTTATAATAGTAAATTATAAAATAATTAGTCACGTATATTTATTATATTACTAATATAATAAATATACATGACTAATTATTTTATAGTTTACTATTATAAAAAAAATATTTCTATAGTAGAAAATTCATACATTAATATTAATTGTGTAGTAACAATATACGAATTAAATCTCGTATGTCGAGGAACTACTGTATTTGAAACATTTGATATTTCGTACAGCAAATTAGTATAAAAATTGTATTAGAAATTAGGTTCTGTTTAGCACATTGGAAGCACGTGCAATATCGTAGTAAGAGTAAACTTACGTATTCGAAGTTTCTTAGAATCACATTAGAATATGTAATAAAATTACATTTTTGATGAAATTTTATAATAATTGTAGATAAATTTATTGGTAAGACTTTGAGATAATAAAAACAATGACGCAAAAAGTAGTAAGTTAATACTGCGTCATTGTTGCATTAATTTTTCCGAAAGGTTACAGAATTTAATTATAAAAATAATACTACATGTAAATAATTTCATGACTTAATAGTTACAATATTATACAACAACATACATATATCGTTATATTTATTTTACGAATGTATTTAATTTTTGTTTATTATCAGCAACATGTTTGACGGTTCGAGCACTATAAAACTAATCTGAATAATATCGTGCATAACAAGTTTGCATTTACATGCTACAAAAATATAATAAATATTTTAATCAAACAAAAGCCATACTGATAAAATTCTATCTAGACTCACCATGGTATAACGTTTCCACGTTCCGTGCTTTTGTGTTCTGCAACTGAATATCCAAAATAAGTGCCTTTACTTCCAGTTTTAATGAGAGGAATCCTCACTTCGAGATTAAATGAATTCACTGCACTAAATTGCACGTAAATTGTTAAAAACAACACAAACGCACCACAAGGACACGCACACATGACTGTTTTTAACAGCCGCATATCGAACTTTTTTATTTTATTTTAAATCGAATCGTAAACACTACACCGCCACGCCGTAAAAAACGTCCCGTGACGACGAGTTTCGTCGCTGAACTGACAACAATCATGAAATCTAACCGCGGGAGAGATCGAGTGTGGTGGGGATTGAAAGCACGAGTTCTTTTACCCGCGGTAAACACCTCTTAAGTTAGCAAGACCGAATTGGCTAATGGTTCCGCACCTGTTGTATTGTTTAGAACCCAGTTTTTACTAATTTGTACCCATAATAAGAATTATATATCACGTGCTATTAAAAAACATGTGGTGCCACTAGCTTGATGTTTATTTATCTATTACGACCACTTATTAACAAAAACTAGTGGGGCGCATGGCATCGTGCCTTCAGGCAAATTGCTGGAACTTCCCGTACCAAAATTTTTTTTTTAAATTAACATTTTTGAAAAAATTTTAGTTTGCAAAAATTAGATTTTTGAGAAACTATAAATTTTTGACAAAAACTTACTTTTTTTTCGAAAAAAAAAACTAGTAGGACGCATGGCATCGTGCCTTAACGCAAATTGCTGGAACTTCCCGTACCAAAAATTATTATTTTTTTAAAAGATTAACATTTTTCAAAAAAATTTACTCTGAAAAATTAGATTTTTGAGAATCTACAAATTTTTGCCAAAAATTTACTTTTTTTTAAAAAAAAGACTTTTTGAAGAAAAGTATATTTTGAAATATTTTGGAAATTCTGAACTTTTTTTCAAAGCAATCATACTGCTTTAACTGCATAGAAACAAAATATCGAAACGCGTAAGCGCCGCGCCGCTGTCTAACGAATAAGCATTGGCACGGAACTCATAAGAACGTAAACAAAATTTATACTTATTGTTAAAATCTCTATAAAATATCTGATAATTTGATGTGCGTATGTATAATGATCATTGTTGACTTCAAAATGACATTTTTTTACTTTGTTTACTAGATCTCCGAAACCGCAAGACCTGCCTTTCCAAAAATTTAATGTTCCTCATCTTGTCAATACAAGTAAAATGTTTTTTGAATGATTAAAATTGGACGCCCCATTCTCTTAAAAACGGAGTTACTGTTTTTGGCACTTTTTTACCCTTATCTTTGCAACGGCTAGACCCGCCTGCTGTCAACTTAATATTGAGCTACCACTAGCTTTATGTTTATTTATCTATGCCATCACGACCACTTAACAATAATTAAAAGATATTTTGCCCCTAGATGTTATTAAATATATAATATATTCATTTTTGCCTTTAGGCAAATTGCACAAACTGCCGATATGTGTAAATAACGTAACACGCACGTTTAAAATTGTCACTGATAGATGTTTAAAAATGTTGCTCATTATTCCCAATTTTGATGAATTTTTATAATTAAACCACTTTTCGTATGTCCATAATATTTTAGAATGCTTGTTAAGACCATAAGCTTTATTACTATAAAAAGTTTCATCAAAACCGTAAAAAATCAACAGTTAATTACGAAGAAGCGACTCGGTTGATCTTTAACAATAACTAATCAGCACGATTTTTAACTAATATCTTCAAATTATTTTTTGCAGATTTTTTTTGCAAAAACGCGTACAAAAAATTTGCACTTGTTTGCAAACGCATAGAAACGGCTCAGCTGATCGTCTAATAAAACAAACGCGAATTTTTTATGTGTTTTATCGAATGGCTTTTAAATTTTTGAAGTTAGCAGGCCGTTTTTGAGAATGCGTCAACGAAAGATAAAATTTTGGCTTACATACATATGCACACTTACTTATTTCACTTTTGGTCTCCAACGATTTAGGAAAGACTTGAAACGACGAAAAATCAACATTTAATAAATTAAACAAAAAATTAGCAAATCAGATTTTTTGTCGAAATCAAACTTCTCCTTCGTGAAGAGTGCTAAGGTGTTTTCTCAATGTAGGGGATAGCAAAGCTAAATAATATCACCTAAATGCTATAGCTCTCAAAAAGAGAGCTGTATAAACCGTCTTTTCATTTAATACACTGGAATAAACCAGTGTGCACGTTTTAGTGAAATGTGCAGAATGCATAGTTCTCAACGTATTTCTAACATAACCAACATTCGGGTTTTTGCGGCCGTCCATTAATAGAGGGTAGGAATTTGACAAAGAAACGCGAAATATTAGATAAGGAAGGAAAGTCTAGAAAGATATCTCGTGTATTTATTTTTACCTAGATTTCCAAAAATTTTACAATGTTTGTAAGTACTGAAAATAATGTGATATTGTGGGAAAAGGTGTAGTTTTCGAATTGCACTACGCATTACTAAGAGGGGGGGGGGTAAAAAATGCTTGAAAAATGATCACATGATTAATGGTCCCTTGCCTACTGTGAAAGACAGAAGTCAATCGCGATCCATTATTGAAAGACTTGGTGTAAAATAATCAAAACCGTTGATACACAGATAAGAAAATTGCCTTGATAATTACACAGGCCAACAAAGAAAATGGTGCAAACGATTTTAATGCTGTTGTTAAGTATATTTGGGGCGCTGATTTCAAAAATGACATTGGTTTTATTCTATGAGCTATAGTTTTCAAGATATGATATATATGATATATAAGGAATGAAAGTACAAAATAGTAATACAATTCAGAATGTTATTTTAATGAGATATGCCTACTCGTACATACAAACTTACAAGACCTATTCAACCTTAGTTGAGACATTAGATAGTTGACAATGTGAAAAGTTCTTTTCCGTGACGACCTACAATGGATCTGGTTTCGACAACTTCTTTCCAAGTTCAAAACTAGAGCTGATACAAAAAAATGGTTTGCAGATTTGAAATCAACGCAAAAAATACTATAAGAATCAGCTCTAACATTTGATGTAAAATTTTTTTTTGTAGGCCTGTGATATTTATCTCTACCGAGTTTTAATTTTATACGATTATGGTAACGTGGTAACTTATGTGTGATTTGAATTTAAACCAATGGTAATTTTATGTCTACCTACATTATGTAAAATTTCAGCATAAAAATATCATTACGGTAATATATTATAATTTAGTATAATATTACTTGGAATTTACTTACAGAATTTGACCACGGGGTATTCTAATATTGTCTAGGGAATTTGACCATAATCTGATTTGAATCTGATTGATAAACAGCGCCACTGTGACGAAACGCTTTACTTAGCGCTATCAGCGCCAGTGTGGGCGAAACTTTCCCTAGTTTATGTCTCGCACTGTTTACCACGTTTCGATTTGACAGCTGATGGGAAGGAAAACGTTGGCCAAGATGTCATTTCTTTACCGGAGACTTAAGTGGGTTTATTTATGTGTAATGATGCACTAAGTGTGCAACCCCTGGCTCTGCCCTGACCTCTTCTTGACCTGTTGCTGAATGGTTAATGATAATGAATTTCCGTGACATTCATTGTAACAGAATTTAAATTTGTATGCAGGAACTTGTTCATATTAAACAATATTATATTAAAAATGATGCAACGAAGTTTGCTCAGATCAGCATTTAGAAATCTTGCTAGAATTAATAGCAGATTTTATTCGGTATCAAATACTGAAGATTTGAAAGTAGATTATTTATCAGAAAATAAGCAGGGTATAGTTGTCTTGGGTTTAAACAGGCCTGAAGCCAAAAAACGCGTTTAGGTACTTAAGTTATTATATATTTCAAAACTTTGACTTCTCGAGTTTCAGAATTTGTATCAATTCTATATTTCTAGTCGTAATCTTGTAGATCTATTGTCTTCAGCAGTAAAATCGATAAGCCATGATAACAGTGTGAGAGCAGTTATTATTCGTAGTTTAGTTCCAGGAGTATTTTGTGCTGGTAAGCGAAACTGAAATATATTTGATACCAATAAATAAAATTTACATGCTCTATCATATATAAGCATCATTTATTTTACAGGTGCAGACTTGAAGGAGCGTGCAAAACTGTCTCCAGATGAAGTTAAAGTATTTGTTAATTCATTAAGAGAATTATTAACTAAAATCGAACAATTACCAATGCCCGTTATTAGTGCCGTAGATGGTGTAGCTCTTGGGGGAGGTTTAGAAATGGCATTAGCTTGTGATATTATAACTGCATCAGATACTGCTAAGTTAGGCTTGGTAGAAACTAAGTTGGCAATAATACCAGGTAACGATAATGCTTGTAGTTCTACTTTGCATATAGATTTAGATAAAGAAAGAAGGTTTAATTAAAATTTTATTTCACTTAAGCTATATTGACTTCAGTTCTACTAAATATATACATAAGTAAAGGACTACAGTTATAAAAAACTTTTTCGAATTCACGGAGTATACAGACAGTACCTTATTTAATTTTTTTCACGCAATCAAGGTGCTGGTGGTACCCAGAGACTGCCAAGAAGAATTAGCCCATCTCTAGCTAAGGAACTCATATTTACTGCAAGAGTTTTAAGTGGCACTGAAGCTAAAGAATATGGTAAACCAAATTTATTTTTAATGATATTTGTATATTTATTCTTGAGTAAGCCGTAATCTATAATAAAATTTATCAGTTTAGGCTAATGTAGATAATGTAACTAAAGTAAAAAAAATTTATGATATATTTAATAGTAGTTTGCAGCACAACGTTTGCTCCCAAAATTAAAAAATCTGGAAGTAAACTACCTAAATACAAATTATAATATTCTTCATTTATATCAAATATAAAGTGAAAGATGAAATGGCCGAACTGCTTAATCATAAAAGTTATTTTAAATTGAATTGAATATTCTCTGAAATACCATAAACACCAAATTCTTTGAGCAGCTTAAATGATATAACATAAAATTTGAATACTTATACCATTATAATCATGTTGAAAATGGTAGCTGCTTCCGTGTTCATTAACCCTTTTTCACAAATTATTTCATTTTTTAAAAATCATGTCCAGGAATTGCAAATCATGTTGTGAAGCAATCTGAGAATAAAGATGCAGCATATTTGAAAGCGGTACAAATTGCTGAGGAAATATTACCAAATGGACCAATCGGTGTTAGGATGGCAAAACTAGCCGTGGATAAAGGATTACAGGTAAATATTGAATATAAAAATTCAAATATTATATATTTAACTTTTTTATATGGTTTCAGGTTGATATGTCCACAGGATATACTATTGAGCAAACATGTTACGCTCAAGTAATTCCTACCCAAGACAGATTAGAAGGATTAAAAGCATTTGCTGAGAAAAGAAAACCTGTTTATAAAGGACATTAGTTTATCCATCATGCCAAAATGTACCTGCCATTCATGTAATTTAGCTAAGTTTTAATAAAATGCAAAATGTGTTATTTAACCAAGGCTATTTTTGTTGAAAATTAGGACATCTATTATCTTTACATAATGTAATTTTCAAACAGGATACAAATTGAAAATAACTGATTCAAAATTAGCTGGGATAAAATCTAAAGAATAGTTTGGTAAAGTATAGATAATAGGTTCTGTTGGCATCTAGTTGTTCATAATTTCTAGAATATTGATTGAGCTTTCTGATAGGATTTTTTTGCAACAAAAATCAATATGCATTACATTTTCAATTACATTTTCTATTCTTAAGTTCTGATCACCTGCATAATTTCTTGACTTGAATTGTAATTAATTGAGCTAATGGATGCATACACTTTATAAATTCTTGTAGTTGACTGAAAAATCATGGCAGTGGTAATTTTGTCAATGCAGCTTTGTGATTAAATTCAGGAAACAGTTACTCTACAAACTGTCGCTACTGGTTATAACAATAAGCCCAAAATCAAACCAAAAGATTTCTTTAATTTATTTTATTTAATATTTAATTCTTGAAGGTGTCAAATATCATCTTCTTTTCACTATTGCATATTCTCACCTTCAACTTCAATATGATATTGATTTTAAATATGTTTCAGTAATATCTTCCCTCCTGCGTGTGTCTGCTCTTTTAGAATGTTTTCCATTGGACGTAACAACTCTATTAAGTCTTGTTTTGTCTTTTCTTTAGAATTTTCAATGATTGAAAGTAAAATAAAGCATGCTCTATTTAAGCCTAACCAGCGCTTAAGCTGAAAGTTATTAAGTAAATTATTTGTTGTTGGATCAAAATTATTTTACTAGGTATAATATACCTTAAATAATACTTACAACTTTTTTCTTCAAAGAACCAACAATAGCTTCACCAAATGTTGGTTCTTCCTTTTCTATTTGTATTTTATCATGTTGTGCTAGCTTTTTCAAAACCATATGTAACCCTGCATGTTCAATTCCCAAAATTGTATCTTCAGCTTGAGAGTCTACTTCAGCAGAATCAGTTTTAACATTCTTTTGTGTCTTTACTTTAGTATTTATTTCATTAGCAACTTTCCATTCTAAACTTGTGATAATAGCAGCTAAACTTTCTAATGCAATCCGCAATGACTCCCCAGAACCTATAGATATTAAGATTAATAGAAACATAATTTGTTTTTATTATTCATTAAGAACATACTTTTTACCTTAAAAGAAATAGTGATACTAATTTATCTAGAGTTTATCCAACAATATTCAGAATTCATGTTCAGAATAAAATTAGGAAAATAATTGAAAACTTATAAAATCAATGATGTTGATCACGAATTTAAATAGAAACTTAAAGAGTATTTGTTTGTAATGCATATAAAAAAGGCAAAGTACTTTTTTTTACAATTAGCAAATTTGAGTAATTTTGAGGAACAATGGCCAAATGCATTAATATTACAGATAATTTTATTATACCTGCTTTTAAAACTGCTTTTGTAACTATAGCTACTGGTCCACTTTGCAGCCAATGTGAGCTATCTTTAGTGATAGCATTACACAAGGCATCCTTGCAATTGTCTAAAATTTCTTGTATTCTAGTTTCTGATGATTTTTTACAACTGCTCATTTTCATTCCCTCTTTCAAAGTATCTATCACAGAAGGATGAAAATAAGTTGTGTCCATCGGCGCAACTAACCATAACAAAATTTTTCTTCCCCATTCATTTTTGATCAGATCAGTAGCTTTAAAAACTAATTCATTCACCAGAATTTTGTTTAAAAGTACTGTATCATCCACACCACACAATATACCTAAGAGTAACATATGACCATGTTCATGTTCTGCTAGTTTTATTATATGTTCTTTAATGCTTCTCAATATCACCTATAAAAATATTTTTTGTTATTTTTATTTAGTTACATAATTATAATATGATTTGATGATTACCTTTTTGTCTTTGTTTGTAGCATACCACAAACATATCAAAGCACATTTTGTACCCTCTTTAGTACTGCAAATAGTAGCTATGGATGGGCATAATAAAGATATAAATTCTGTTCTATCTTCTTCAGAGCAAACACTCATAAATTCATACAAAACAACATGAAAAAGACTGGAAATAATAATATATTTAATTAGAAACCATTTTGTTTGTAAGTTTTCATTGTCTAAGTAAAATACTTACGCATTATCTAATAAATTTTTGTTAATTATCTTTAACAAATTTGCTTTAGTTGCACACAGCATAGCATTTTTCATATGTTCTGAGTTTTTATATGTATCGGTTAATGTAGATATTGATTCATCTTTATTCTGTAGAAAACAATGTAAAATGATTTTTATACCATTAAAAAAAGTAATGCTTATGAAATGACTAACAATAAATACAAATACTTACATTTTTATAGATATCTCCATAAAATTCTTGTTTAAGTTTATTTTTTTGAACATTTGTTGCCCAAGTCACATAAGCAATATCAATTATGGAGCTACTTAAACTATGACTCGTCAATTTAACTACATTGCCATAAAATTTGTCTATAATTGCTCTTCGCATTTCCCCAGAACCATATTTAAACATTTTTTTTACACAAAAACGACCATAACTTGACTGCAACATCAGAACAACAGAATTGAGAAGATCCTGGAATAATAAAATTTAAATTATACTTCCCTAATAATTCATTAAAAAGGTGTTTAACTAAATTAACCTGCATGATTTCATTTTTTATTTTGGCATTTGAATATTTTAGCATAACTTGCACCACTCTGGTCATATCATGTGCTAATACTAATCTAGAGTATCTATTTTTGTCGCCTGTTGTACCTTTTAGCATACCATGTAACTCTTCACACAATTTATTGCGTTCATCAACTCCACAAGTCTTACTGCAAAATATTGAAGAAAAAGTAAACAAACATTTCTATCAGTCAGAACAGAGAAAAAAAATAAAATGCTTACATTCGCAATTTTTCACCTAATTTCTTTGCTTGAACAGAAAGTTCAAATAAATCTTCATTTTTTTTCTTTTTCCTGGTAAGACGTAATTGCTTTTTTTCTTTTTTGTATTTGGACCAATCCTCAGGTTTCTCAGTTTCCATTTTATTTTTTGGATTAAACGTTGTCTTACCTCCTATAGTTAATAATGAATAAAATTAGAAAATTGCAGGCTAAAATTTATAAAAATAAGATCAGATTGACAGAATTGAATCTGTCCAGAAAAAATTTGTTAATCATGTAAGATTCCACAAATACAAGAACAATATTCAGATAAGTCAGTCCCAAATGTACAACCATCTTAACATTTCGCCACTCGATGCTAGAAAAAAATACCTCACCTTTTGCTATGGAGCAAATATTGTGAAAGGTGCTTTAGATGTGCCTGAACTTCTCGAACACTTCAAATTTGTAATACCAAACATTAAGTAACGTAATAACAGAACTTTAGAAATACCTATAGTTAAAACCAAATTTGTTTCACGCACACCCATGTTCAAAATATCAAAAATAATAAATGAATTTGCTTATAAAAAATCAAGCCAAAAAAATTATCATTAAATGAATGTCTTAAATAGTGATTTATAGTTTATTAAATGTTTATTTTTATTAGTTTTTATTTAATGTTATCTATTTGTAGTTGATATTAAGTGTTATGTATATATATATAAAGCTATCTATGAACTCTTAATACTCTAATTTTGTCACATATTATCTTTAGTTTATAATTGGTACACTTTAAAATGTAATTATATTGTCCTTGGACATTGAATAAATAAATAAATAAATAAGTATTATTTATACCTTTTTTAAACGTAGTTTTCTTGCTAAAGCCATTTTTATGAGGATTTGTTATTGTTTTCTTCGAATTCTTTAAATTCTTGTCATTATCTTGTTCATTTTTAGAATGTTCTGTTGTCTTCAATTTCTTGTTTTTATTTTGTGTGTTATCTTCTGAAGAACGTTTTTTAGATTTAATCATTTTGATTTATTGTACTTTAACTTAAATCGTTATATTGGAAAACAATGATTATAAACAATAATGAGTTTTTCTTTAATATAAACACTTTATTTCCTTAAAACACGTGCAGTTTAATTATAACCTATCAAAGTTTGTCAAAAAGATCATCTCTTGAGAAAAACGATATAATGTGCCAGGCTGTCATACTCTTCTTTTATCATATTATTAGTTGATTTCAATTTTTGCCGCAAGAGGCGCGCTAGATGTTTGTTGATTTGACTTATTTTGACACTTGCTGCTTTTAGTATTTTTATAAATGTGAACTAGTGAAACATCTTGAAATTGTGTAAAGCCCGCTGTTTAGTTTGAATAATTCAAAAGAAAATCAAAAAAATATCTAATTAATGGCAGATAATGCGGATGATATCGAATCTGGAGATGTCTCAGATCATACTGCTTCTGAGGAGGTACTAACGACAATTTTTATTATATTCAATTGAAACTGTCAGTTTCACCAGTACATTATGAAATTGAATGTACAGACGACAAATTTTTGAATTATTTTCATTGATATTTGCCAATTAGTTTTCCATGTATTGCGAATAACTTAAATTAAAAATGAATAATAATATCCTATCTGTATCAAGGAATTTAAAGTGAGCATTCAATTCTATATAAAAAATGATAAAGTTTTGATCTTATTATGTTAATATTTACATTTGATTTAAACGTTTACACATGTGTGTATCCGTGTATCTCCACTAGATTTAGGTACTTATATTGCACATGCTCGAGTATTAAATTTGCTGGGCCTTTCATTGCTCTTTTGAGAATGATTTGGATATGTTGTGTGATATTGCTTTTAAATTGTTACATTCTGTGTTATGCTATTTTGTGTTTTTAATGTTATTATGTATTCTACTGTATGTATAATAATTGTATTTCTAAGTCGTCTTGAAACTATTCTGCGGGCTATGTGTTTAAAAAATAAATAAATTCCACATACAATTACTCTGATCTATTGTAGATCAGAAAATATGACAATTTGAATAAAATGTGCAATCACAAAAACTTGTACAATTGTGTTATTGAAGTTTCTATTACTAGCTCTCATTAATGAACATTCTTTGACAGTACATTTATCAGGCCCATATTTTTGCACTAAAAATTATTAGGTACATTAGATAATTACAGCAGTCTCATGTATAATAAAGTTTAACTTCAGAAATTTTTGTTCAATTTTTAACATGCTCGGTGCAAATAGAGTAGCATTAAGAATTTATGATAAACTAACTATGCCCCTAAATAAGGTCCCAGTTAATTTTAGATAATTATTTGCAATATTTTAATACTAATTAAAATAAATAAATTTAAAATTATATCATAATAGACTCAATATGTTTTTAAATAATTTTTAACTTTAATTTCTATTATCCAACAATAACTTTATTATAAAATCTAAATGGGATGATAACATTTTCCGTGACACCTAGTCTGCAAATATTGTTCGGCATGATACTTAATTACTAAAATTTAAAAATCGTTTTAATGAAATAATTGGACATGTATTTTAAATATACCATGGGTATTTAAAAATTAGTTTTCGTGTTGAGCAATGTGAGATTTTCATATAACTTTGTTTTACTATCATATTTAAAATATTCATTCTAGGCGATCATTATCAATTTCTTCAAGCATAATAAAACAATGTACTGATTTATACTCATTCATTATGGTACTATCTTCAATTAAAAATCAAATAGACACACAAGAAAATTAAAAAAAAAACTTGAATTTGCAATATCAATATCAAATTAACCAAATTGGTATTAATCATAATTAACATCATTTTTGTGGAACAGGAAGCAGTGGAACTAATACAAGAAAAACGTGATTTAGAACCAAGTTTATATGGAATTAAACCAGCACTCAAGGACAAGTTTAATATTCCTGCCATCAGAGAACTTATATTATCTATTCTTCACAGTACTCTGGATGGCCAAATTTATTTGCCACATACTGCCAAAACAATTACAATAGATCTTGCTAATGCAATAAATAATTCCATTAAAGGCTTGCAGCAGAGCCGTTATAAGCATATAGTACAGGTAAGCATTATATATTTTAGGGATACAACATTGTTGAACATTTAAAATGTTTGGTAATTTATGATGCCATATTCACTTCATATGTTCGAAATCGCCTTTCCCGATTTTTAAATAATCGAATAGATCAGGCAGGCTCGATTTATGCTTTTTTTTGAGAAGATTTCAACACTTTATGATTGATCTGTTAATCACATAGTCTACTTACTACTTAATTAGAAAGCTGATATAGAAATATTACAAATTTAGGCGCTCTTCATCGTTACCTAGAGAATATTTTTTGAATCATAAATTGACTGGAATTAATGTCTGATTAAAACTAAATAATTTTTGTCAAGATATAACAGAAATTTTGAAAAAAATATACGTCTTGATCACATTTAAAAAAATAAGTAGTTAACATAAGTTGCAAAAGTATGCTAATTTTCAATATCATGATGTTTATTTTCTGTGAGATCTATTTAATTTTTACAGGTGGTTTTAGGCGAACAGAAAGGGGCAGGAGTGAAAACAGCCATGCGAAGTTTGTGGGATATTGAATGTGATACATATGTATCAGAAGAATATAAAAATCCATCATTATTTTGTTTAGTAGCTGTTTTTGGTATTTATTTCTACTGAATATATAAAAAAATAGATAGACACCATCACATTGATGATGCTTCTTGTAGGGAATTGTTTATTTTTACTACAATTGTTTAATTGAATGCCTGTTATGATATTTATTTGTTGTAAACCTCTAGTTTTGTAGTGTAGTTCGATTGTTAAAATTCTCTGAAAGTTGAAAGTTCACTTGATAAAGATTGTTGCAACTGTATCTTCATTGTCTCAATTTCAAATATCAAAAATTACATAATATATGTTACTTTATATTAATGTCAACTAGTCCTATATAAAATTTATACTGTGAATCATAAATAACAGTCATAGATGTAAGTTTTTTCCACCTTCTCAAAATATTTTGAGTGGCATGTTTGATATTATTTTGAATCCAGTGATTCATTTCTCTGTTGTTAATAATAATAAATCCATTTACTTTATTTTAAAAATGTCAGGCCAATTTTATATTTTTAAATGTGATTGAATAATATAAGTAATATAAAAAATAGTCATTTTAATTAGTATTGCAATTTTTAGATTTCTCAGAAATTTGTTTATTCTACAGAAGTATGAGTTGGAAATTGAGTTGATAAAATTTCTAGGTATAAAACATTTTACCAGCCTGTTGCGTAATCAATCCAAGATACTTTGGAGTTGAGAGTAATAAAAGTGCTTATATATAATATATGTAGATTATCAAAAGCAAAGATAGAGATATAACATGCAGATTTGAGTTGGAATATATATAACATAACAATGTTATTTTTGTGATAATGCTATAATTAATTACAATCTACTAATTAAAGAACAAGATTCTTACCATAATTGATCTTACGAGCCAGAAGCAGGGTAATTGAGCTTAATAATATACAGCTTTACTGTATCAGAAAGAGTCTTTAAGTTATGTATGCAAAATGTTCTGCAACAAATCAAATTCTGGATGATAATTTACCTTTTAACAAAGTATAAATTCAAATTATTGTTTATTTGTAGCAAATATTGCTTACAGGATATAACATATAATATATAATTTTTTATTAAATGTTTTCACTCCATAGACTATAAAAAAATATTTAAACAAATATTTCTCTCTCTCTCTATGTATATTTTATATTATTGTTCTTTAGGTATCAATTTATCTAAAAATTCTGAATGGCTTTGTAATAACTCAGTAATTGTTTCTTCAGGCTTGTTCGTTTCTGTATCATATTCAGGGCCAACAGACCACAGCATATCAATATCATATTTCTGTCGTACTTTCTTCAGAAATAAATGAACAGCTATATTTCCTAAATCCAGGGCAATCCATTCTTTAGAATTAGCTCCCTCAATCTTTGGTATTGGATCATCCTTCGATCTTTTCTTTTTATAAATCTTTCTAATAAACTCCGCAATACCCAACATATGTTTTGTATTTCTGCATGTAACAGAGCACATGTAATCTATGTATTTCATTGATTTTGGTACTGCTATAACACATAAATCTTGTCCCTTATTTAGTCTAATAACTTCTACTAATTCGTCTATATCGAATACTCCAGATACTCCTCTTTTAAGAACATTGTTTGTAATGTCATGTAGTTCTTTGTCGTCTTCATGCTCTTCCATTTCTTTTCTTCTACGTTCCTCTTCAATATCAAAAATTTGTGGAGAGATTTTGTCTTCGAATTTTTCATATTTAAGTTCCTTGGAAATATTATAATCGGAACTTCTGGAACAAAATTGTTTATAATTTACTTGCGCAAAATTTATTTCATTGCTCAATTTCGATAGAAAATTGTTTTTCAGTTGTATTTTCTGCGCACAATAGTATAGAAAGCGATACATTATTAGGTTATAACATTTAAAAAAATATTTATTAATGTTTTTTATGCGCAGGAAGGAAATAGATCAATCAAAGTATATCACTATTTATTTCAAAATAAGAAGGTAATAATATTTAATTGATTTAATTAATTAAGCAATATCAAATAAATATTTTTTTCATAATATGAATTGATAACCCCAAAATACTATTCTTGTCAGTTTGACAGTTAGGTTAGCGCTGACTGCCAATATTAAAGAAATAAACAGTCCTTTTCGCCTTATATTGGTAACCTCGGAT